AAAAAACTCGCATATTGAGGCTCTCGTCAAAGTATAATGAATTAGCAACCTCTAGACACCACACTCTGTATATTCAACCCAAGAAAATATATACTCTTTAAAGAAAAGGTAAACACATGTTAGATTCAGCCGAGTTCATTATCTTCGAAAATACTTTAAAAGTAGAACAAAATTTTACACTAAGTATTTTCTTTTGCCAAAAAAAAAGGTTAGGGTCGCATTCCGGAGATATTGATAACAACTTCGTTTTTTTGCTATGAAACACCCTAAGTATTATTATATTTATATATTCAGAAGCATAGAGAATTAACGATAACCTCTCCACTCATTACAATATCATAGTCTATTGGTCAAACTTTAAATATTAGAGGCAGATCTACAAAACCTACATTTCTATAATAACGAGAATTGTTCTAACAGAAAAGTCGAAAATCTAAAAATATACAAGGTGTTCTACACAATAAAAAATAATCTTTAGAATGCGAACTCAATTATTGTGTTTTTTTATGAAATAAAATCGACAAAATTAGTAAAATCAACTTCTATATTTCCAACATCTTTAAAGAGAACGAGTTACATTCGAATCAAACATAACCCTGTACAACCAAGGCTCATTGACCCAAGGAGTATATTTTAAAACGTCTGCTCTCATCTAAAAAAGGTCAATCATTAACATTCAACGACACAACAAGGCACCCTTTGATCTTCTTCCGGCCAACTTGCGATTACATGTAAGATGTACATTGCACATCTGGTATTCTTTTTCCGCCGAATAAAGTGTTTTCTTATAACGATTCATCTTTGAAGTTAAATTAGCTATCTAATAAGCCACCGGCCAACTGGTATTTCCTGGTTTATATGGATCTAACTGAATGATCTGAAGAAACATTTTCAGACAAGTGTGCGTTGGTGTCTACATACTGTGTGTCCTAATTTTGATGCATCTTCGCTGTCGTCTAGAAAAAGGGGAATTTTAGAACATTTTTTGCGTTTCATTTTCCCCGATTTTTTGATATGGCAGTCACATAAACCATTTTCTAAAGTGAAAAATTTTTAAACAATATTTTCGGGTGTTTATTAAACATTCGGCAAAAATTCAAGGGGTTATTTCCTGGACTATAGAATATTTTGTCCTATGATGATTTTTGAAAAGCCGCTTTGTTCGGATACATGGTGAGAAAAACTTTCGACAATTTTGATATTTTTGTTATTATTAATGTAGTCGAAATAAGAGTATAGTGTAATACATTGGGTTTATCGACTATATATTTTTTTAAAGAATTAAAGAAGGTAAGTGCATACATTGAAATTCGTCTCGTGATTGATCATATTGTATGTGTCGAATTTGTTTGAGACTGACTGAAGTTTGGCTGTTTGACGTGTCTTTAACAGTTAAACTTTTGTTAGTGAAGTCATCTATTCATTATCATTATACGAACGCCGAGGTGACTGATATGTACATCGAACAATTTCCTGACATTCATGTTCCTGATAGAAAAACTTTCCAAAGTATTTATCAACGTCTTCATGAAGAAGGCACATTGAAACGAAGTGGAGGACCAGGAAGGTCAATGACGTATGTACACATATGTATTGTATTCTGTCAATGACTTTTGCACACATTCCCTGGTAGCAAAATCTTGCACAAGACACTTATACAAGACTGCTGTGTACCTACTGCTGAAATCAGCATCAGGTTTACTGCAAGATTCATTGTGCAATTGTCTTGCTCAAAGCTTTCAATGGATTTGATTCAGGACACTTGAGCACAAAGGGATAAATTAAAGCGAGTAACTATTTTGCAGACTTACATTAGAATTAAATAAGACATATTGTACTTGACTTATACTAATTCTCCCCTTTGGACTCAAATACTTATGGTTAAGTCTGGTGCAAGTGTTGTAAAAATATCTTGCATAAGAAACAATATAAATTTCAGCAATAGAAACAAAACAATCTGACACAATTTGGCTATTTCAAGTAAACTTGAAACAACTTGTATTAGAATTGCACACGATTGTGCTACCAGGGTTGTTTCAAATCCCTCAACTACTGACGCTGATTCTTTTTACCGATGAAGCGAATTTCTCAAGAAATGCAATAAGGAATTTTCACAATAAACATGTGCGGACTCGGGAAAATCCAAATTAGGTACTTGAAGATCGTTTTCAACATTATTTCTCGTTGAACGTTTGGGTTGGAATTATGGGTGGCTAATTGAACCGGTATTTCTACCAGGAAAACTTACCAACGAGGTGCATTGCAATTTTTTGGAACAAATGCTACCTCAGTTTCTGGAGGATGTACCATTGGCAACAACAAATGCAATGTGGTTTATGCACAATGGTGCACCAGCGCATTTTAGTGTGGTTGTTCTGTTCGTAAATTTTTAACAGTACCTGACATACAGAGATTGCTGGATTGGTCGAGGTGGACCGCACTTTTGACCTACTCGATCCTCCTGGATTATTTCCTATGGGGGCCATCTAAAGTCATTAGTTTATATTACTCCAGTGAAAAATGTGGAAGAAATCGGATAATTGCTGGGTGTAACTCAATAAGAAACGACCCTGGTGTTCTTGAATATGTTCGGCAGTCAATAAGAAGAATGTTGGATTCTTGCATCCTAGCTGAAGATAGTCATTTTCAACAATTATTGTAGATTAAGAAACTTTACATGTAATTTTCGGTAATAATTCGGTGTTATTGTTGAAAATTTTTCTCACCCTGTATCTTCGAATCGAAAAATCATCAGAAGATGAAATATGGGATAACCCCTTAAATTTTTGCCGTATGTTTAATAAACACCTAGTATAATTTTCCCAAAAATGATAATGTTAGACATTAAATATTGTATTTATCTCTTTTTCATCCCTTTTTAAATTAAAAGCCATAATATCTTTGGATGCGTTTTCGTCCGAATTATTTTCAGGAATTGGACTAATAATTTTGTTAAATTTCGCCCATATGGACAAATTTTTGCTCTACAGAAGTCAGTTGTACATAGATACTGATTTATCAAATCAGCATATTATAATTCTTAATAATATGGATGATTATCTTTTGGAAAATCTTATCTTATCGGATTTCTGACAAGTTCAATTCGGACGAAAACGCATCTAAAGAACGGCCGGCCTAACGAAGCATAAAACTAGACGGTTTAAAACGAAGGAATACAATCATATTTTCTATACATATAGAGTTCGTTGACTTCCACAAAGAAACAACAACTTTATCAGAAGAAATTAAATCCCATGTCTAATTTGATTATATCTTTCAAATGCATAAAAAAACAACAATAAGGGATCTGGTTAAAATACGCCTATTTCTTGTTTATTTATTCAGGTCGATTTCTACAAGTCACAACTTTTCCTTTTATTGGAATTTCATGTCTCTATTTACTATCGAGGAATTCGATCTTTTTTGTGAAATAAATTATTGATACCTACTTATAATGTTTATTGTAAATATAGGTCTGCCATATAAGCATATATAAAAGAAAGTGAAGTCATAATTTCTCATAACGATTGGGTGATGAAATTTTTCACTCAATCTATAATCATTAGAGCATTCTGATGAGAAGAGATGAGAAACCATAGATTACAGAGGTTTGAGAAACTATGAATGGTGAGTAGGTACCTACAAAACTGGAAGTCCGTTTTGAATGGGACTATAAGAAGATGAAGGTGCCGAGTACACATACCTATATTTTCATCTATCGGTGACGACAAATTAAAATTACTTTATATAATAAAAATCAGTTTAAATGAAAACTTTTGTTTCTAATGACCCTAAATTTGCCAATTTCGGTTACACTAGAGACTAGACCATAGACCTAATAAACTACATGGACTAGACATAAGCTACAGGCATTTTTTTCAAATGATGTTCCCCTCCTTTCCCGACCTTATTTGTAGAGTAACATAAAAAAATGTGTAATGAAATTAATAGAAAATTGACAGGATCAAAGTTTCTTTCTAAGCTAAGCGGCCGCGCACTAGTTTTTCGAAAGTTGCGCAGCCGTTTTTGTATTCTGCGTACAATGGGCTTTTTCTCACTATTTTCAAACACAGGTGGCACAGTATCTATATAAATAGTAGATACACAAGAGTCAAATTCGGTCTGCACAATTATTTATCTAGAGCATCTAGATGTCAATACCGAACTTGGCTATTATCTACTATGACAATTTGTGCGATTTGCCTAAATAATAATATGTGACGTTACATTAAAAGAGCCTATTGCTAACTTAGAGCATATACTACTGGAGGCAGCGTCCCAACTAGAGAGAGATAGCTTATACCCTCCTATACCTCTCTCTCTCTCTTTCTAAACCTCCGCTACACTCTCGGCCACTGAGACGCTGCCTCCAGTAGTATATGCTCTAAGATTGCTCAACTCTACAAGTAAACACAAGAACAGTATACGATTATATTATAGTTAAAATAGTTCTTTTAAGTTTTAATGGATGATTTAAGAAATTAGTAACGGATGCTTTGGAAATTTCAACTTCCTGTTGTATTTAAAAAACTTTTTTGTCTTTTGATACGTAACTTTTCCATCATCTACTAAAATTAGAATGGGAATGGAGCCACCCGAAATCATTTAAAAATATATACCTACTGCCAGCTGTAATCGTAAATACTTATTTGTGATATCGGTCAAACCCGCCCCAAATTATTTTTTTTTTTTTGGTTGCTAAATGTTTTTATGTGGTCTTAACCTAATGGAAAAATTATGTGTATGCCACTGCCTAACGAATTCAAATTTATTGGAATTACCTCTAAATAGGGGTCATTCCTAACAAGCCATATCGAGATTCAATGTTACATAGTGGTAACTAAGTAATAAATCAAGGATTCGTTCTATAAATACTAAAAGCAAAATGTTTAGATAAAACAGTTTTTAGGAAATTCAGGTGCCGAAGTTGCTTTGTGATAATTGTTTTACTGAAGAAGAAGAAGAAGAGGTACAAGAAAATGTCAGTTTTCAATATCTTTGTAAGTGCTGTTTGAGGTTATGTTATTATCATTATTTTTTAATAATGTAATTCTTGTTTGAACGATTTTTACAAAGGCACTGAAATGAATTTAAGCCCTACAAATAAACATGGTAATGGATTACTATATGCAGGTTTTAACCAAGATCAAGGTAACGCTGTTAAGAATTTTATTCCATACAATCGACTCTATTGACCGGTAACGCAAATAGCAAACTGAAAAATATATTTATAGGATGTTTTGCATGTGCTACCACCTCTGGATTCAGAATATATAACTGTGATCCTTTAAAAGAGAAAGAAAGGCAAGATTTTGATAATGGGGGCCTCAGTTACGTTGAAATGCTTTTTCGCTGTAATTATCTAGCATTGGTAGGTGGTGGATCAAAACCCCTCTATCCAACGAATAAAGTCATGGTTTGGGATGATTTAAAGAAAACTACACCTATTTGTTTAGAATTCAATGCACCAGTTTTAGCTGTTAAGTTGAGGAGAGACAGAATAGTTGTAGTCTTAGGTTTGTAGATATTCTATCAGCTGTAACTAACATACACTTTAGTATATTTGATTTTTATAAGTAGGCTAACATAAACTTCTCGTAATATTATTTTTATTCCTTAAAGCTTGTCTCTTAGGATTTATTGTATCATTTTTAGAAGGGGTTATAAAAGTTTATACATTCACCCAAAGCCCTCAACAGCTCCATGTATTTGAAACAAATTCAAATCCGAAAGGTCTATGTGTACTGTGTCCAAACAGTAACAATTCAATATTAGCCTTCCCTGGTCGAAAAACAGGCCATGTTCAACTTGTAGATCTTGCAAATACAGAGAAGTCACCATTAGATATTGTGGCACATGAAGCAAATCTGTGTTGTATTTCACTGAATTTACAAGGAACAAGACTGGCCACAGCGAGTGAAAAAGGGACACTTATCAGGGTTTTTGACACTACAAGTGGACAAAAGATTGCCGAGTTAAGAAGGGGAGCTCATCAGGTAAGGTTAGAAAAAATAAAACTTGATTATTAATGTTAATGTAATATAATCGTATTGTATTGTATAACACTTTGCTTTGTTACATACGACACACCGTACAAATCAAAAATAATATAACAATTATCAACGAATTACAAAAAGAATGTACAGTAGGGTAGATGTGTATAAAAATAAGTGCTCGATTTATATAATGAAAAAGGTCTTTAATTTTGCTTATCATTTTGAAAAATGGTTATTAGATATATTTCTAATCAATATTAATGTATATTCTTAATTATTAGATAGTTTTGTAATATTTACACTTTTTCGGCAACTGTAAGTAGGTACTCTTATAAGGGTAGAGACAATTTCATAAAATTATTAAACATATACACTATATCTAAGAGAATACTATTTTACTATTTTTTAAAGTTCATACAAAACGGAATTTTGTTACATATGTACTTAATAGTAACCATTTAATTTACATATTTAAAAAAAATAATAAAACAAATAAAAACAAATAAGAATAAAAAGTAAAGACTTAGTAATCTCACAATCCTTTTATTTGTAATGTTCAAAAGACGACAAGTTTCGAGGTCTACACTTTACACCTCATCTTCAGGTCATAACAAGGCTACAAAGTTAATTTTTAATTATACTGATGTATACAATTTTTTAAAAAACTTAATCAAAGAATTAATTTTAATTTTTAATTTTGAACCTTATCTAAGAATAATTATTTAAGTTACTGTTGACAAATATTAATTTTAAACTTTTCTAAGGATAATCATTTAAGTTACTATTTTTTCCAAAACTAACTTACAATAAATTGTATTAATATCGAGTTAACAAATGAAACTATATGTGCACACTTACATATCACATTTACAAGGTCCTGTCAAAATTTGGAAAATTCATACTTAATAATATCTTCCTAACGTCTAATTTTAAAAACATAAAACATTTACTGCAGACAATATACAATACACAGTTACAAGTACAAAATTTATTTTAAAATGAAATTTCATCTGAGAGGAATGAAAGCAAAAATTTTTTATAAAATTTTTTAGAAGTTGTTTTTTAATTTAACGAAACACCATCTATTGGGTAATTAAGAGAGTACCATCTCTTAATATTAATGTCTGTATAATTACGAACAACACTACTTTTAATTTAGTTTTTCTTCTTCACATAGATATGTTCTATGTAATATTTTACTTTTTCTCTAATTACACTTGCACGCTCTTCTTTTTTTACCGACATGGAGTTCTCCTCGTTGCTGCTATTAACTATATCGTATTAAGTAGTTAATACTATAGACAACCAATACACCACTTCTAAAAGTCGCTGAAATTATATCCACAAAAAGTGTCCCCTAAGTTTCCTCAGAAAATAACATTCGACTGATAGAGACGGATGGGTTTTGGTTTGAAATGAAAAGCAATAGGTAAATCGTGATTAATTTTATTGTTTTCCATTTTCATGGGATTTGAAAAACCACCTTTTACTGCTTATACTGTGTACCATCAATGGGTCTCTATATCCAGAAGTCTCTCACTAAAAGTTTTCCGAGACACTTTTCTGTCAATTTTTTGCGCAGAATCCAGAATAAATTTCGTTCTGTTTTGCCCCAAGATTTACTTTACATCCGGAGGTAGTTTTGGTTACCTTAATTAAGCCCTTCTACAGAAGGTGAGTTACAACTAAGAGGTACTTCTTAGCTCATAGTACTTGGGTAATTGTTCTATTTTAGTGTTTTTAGAATAAGTTAGATAAGTTCCAGTATTTCATCTTTGGTTAAGTATCCACTTGTTGGTTCTCTGTTGCTCATAAGGGCATTAGCATTTCATTTTGTGGACCTTGAATCAACGTCCATCATCAGCTACTACAGTTTTCCATCAGCAATACATATACACTGGTCAACAAAACCTAGGATTGGATAGATGCTATTTTGTTTCCAAGTCCCTTGTTGTCACCTAAGAAGCAACATCTTATTTCACTCCCCGGATAACCAGATAAGCCTCATGTATTCTTTATTAATATTTTTTCTTGTTTAGATATAAATATTTCGCAATTATTCAAACCTGGTATTTCAAGATATTGTTTATCTTGAAATCGTCAATAACGCACGATCATAGTACTGTGAATATACGACGCTCTTAGCCCATGTTTCCATATATTTGTTTTAATTTGTTCTTACAGTACAACCTTTCAAAATTATTGTTTTAAACCATTTAATTTTTTTATTTTATCGCTAAACTTTATATAAATTTTTTTTATCTACTCTACTCATTTACAACTAGGTGCTTTTTTTGGGAGTTTAAATAAATAGTTTTAAAATTGTATTTACTTCTAATTTTTTTATCTCATTCACTGTAGCATTACTTTGATTTTTATCATATCTTTGTTTCACGATTTTGAATTTCGTAACTTGGCAAAATTGACAGTACTCAACACATTTCCTGTGAAGTTACATGGCGCCCAGTACAACCTACCTCAATGATACCAGAAAGTTATTACAATCCATGACCCTAATGCTCTCTGATGAAAAGCTGCCATACCTACGCTAGTCTCGGATCCCAGATGATAATTCTTTTTTTTTGTCTAAAAGGACCCTGCAGCCTAGACAGCTGAGTGATTCCCCAGTCTGTCGCGCGCAGGCCGCCCTCTTTAATCGAGTAGAACACAAATGTGATGACCGGCAACTAATAGACCATGAAGAAAACCTTTAAACTTGGCTAAAACTATAAATTAGAACAAGTCAAGTGAGATCTTAGAAGGAAGATATATTTAACAAGAAGAGTGGTTTAGCTTGACTGACATCTGCTACTAACCAACGGTATCTTTTACTACCCCTGGTATAAGGCGCCCGGATACCACGCACCCCTTGCACCCCCGGGTTGACGCGGCCCTGCACACTTATATCCTTGTATTTAAAAATTATGAAATGACCTTTAGTTAAAATTGTCGTAAAGACATAAAAGTTAGGGATTTATTAAAACAACGAATATAGTCCTACTTGCATGAAAACATGACATAAAATAAAAAAGCCTTCGTTAATTTTCAGATAAATTCCTTAAAAGCTATCTTAGTAACAGCAAAAAGAATAGTGACTAACATCACATATACATCTTTGTTAATGTCAACTTTTGAACTTACGGTTAAATCCTAATATTTTGATGTCCCAAATTCACAATTATTCTGTTTTATTAATTCTAAAACACGTTGTATTCAGACCTTTAATTATTTAACAGAAATTTTTACTTTTTTTTGTAGGCAACAATTTATTGTATCAATTTCAATCACAATTCGACATCTCTTTGTGTGGCCTCAGACCATGGAACGGTGCACATCTTTGCACTAGACGATCCCAAGTTAAATAAACAGTCAACTTTAGCCAATGCAACGTTTTTGCCTAAATATTTCTCATCGACATGGTCATTTTGTAAGTTCACTGTTCCTAACGGCCCTCCATGTATCTGCGCATTCGGGGCAGATAATAATTCAGTTATTGGTAAGTAGGATAAATGTTTTATTTTTATCTTGTCATAACACTGTTGACATGAAATTAATTATGATTTTTTTTTCCAGTCATCTGCGCAGATGGTTGTTACTACAAATTCGTTTTTAATATAAAAGGTGAATGTGTCAGAGAACAATGTGCCCAATTTTTAGAAATGACAGATGATAATTTGTAAGTCGATCATCGGAGCAAAGCAGAACAATTGTCATCAACGGCTATTATTTCCTGCAAAATAATTGGTGATTTTTTTAAACGCTATTCAATATTTTTCTAAGATGTTGATTTATATTTAAGATGTAACTACTATTACGTTTGTCTTTATCATAGTGTTACAGATTCTTTTAACATCAAATCTCTTTTGTCTGTTATATTTAGTATGTAAATCATTGAGAATTAGATATCTTTTATCTTTTGTAGTCTGATTTAATGTACATAGATTTATTTAAATGTATTGTTGATAGAAATTTATAAATGAAAATGACAATTTTTGCAGTATTTATAATTTTGTGATTCAAAATTGCCCATGTTGCTCACATGTTCTGTTATTTATAGTTCCATATTTTATTTTTTGACTGATTTATATATTAAAAACGTGAATTTATATTAACACAGAAATATTAAATAATAATTGATTTAATAGTCGTTTATCGTTTATTCATTGCTCTTTCGTATCACATAATAATAATTGTTGGATTAAGAAAATCAGGCGTTTGAAGATTTCTATCACTTTTTAAACTTATCACATCCCAATCAAAATATATTGAAATAACCGTCGTGATATTCGTGTTGAGCGACCTCAAAAACACCGGGGTAACGAGTTTTGGCTAAGTTTATAACGAATTTCCACAAAACTCCAGGAGACGACATGGAAACCGGCTACCCTGGGCACTAGGTACCTCAGGAGACCTTTGCCGTTGTAATATTCGTGTTCAGCGACCCCAAAAACCCCCGAGTAGCAAAATTGAACTAATCTCCGTCAATATTTTCCAAGTTATAAATTTTTCATAACTTTTCGAGATGCAATTTTAAAGATTCATTTTTCTTATGGCCGATGCAATTTTCATTTCTCATGGATCCTTTATTTGTGGCATTTTTTATTACTTTTTTTATATAATTGGATATTTTTGCCACACTGAAAAATAAATATATAATCTCTTGTTCCAAATGGATTAGTCAAGAGTTGTCTTCTTAACTTAATTTTACCTAACTTGAAGAAAACTGTAAAATTATTCACGATTTCACCAACCAACAAATACAATTTCTTTCACTTTCAAAATGTTATAAAAAATTAACAATTATCTACTTTTCTCAATGTGAGATACTTAAGGTAGGGCCATTATAAGCTAGATTATGTTGATTGTATAGCATGGGTACTAAAATTTAGCAGATGATGGTTGTAGGGCTGTCAGGTTTCCAACACTAAAAAGCGGGACATTTGAGTCAGCACGAAGGGAAGTTAAATTAAAGGCTTAATGTACGAAGTATATTGCTTTATTGTTTAACATTGTACATACTTACCAAATTATTGCAAATATTTTTCATTAGATTTCACCAGTTGCAAAATTTTTTTTCCTGTCTCAGTTTTCAGATAATTGAAAAATTCATTGCAAGTCATTTTAAAATTCAACTTAACCATTAGTTCGGCTTCTACGGTTTTCATTAACAGGCAGTTTCTCTCCTTTCTCCACACTTTATTCATAAAGCTAAATACACGTTAGAATGAGACAAGGAGAAAACAAAATTGCAAATCTTGTCCAGGTTTGGGCATATATTATTTGTAAAGAAATACACCCATTTTTGGTCATAACAAACTGATTTAAATTAAATTATTTTTAAATAGTGGTATCGGGTTCAGCCAAGAAAGATTTTAATTTTGAATATTCCTCAAACAATAAATCCTGATTTATTGCAATTTCAAAATTCTCGGCAACTTCTACAATTTTGTCAAAATTAATATAATTTTAATCTAGTGTGATCATAGTTAAACCACTTATTTAAATAATCAATCATAGTTTCCAAAACTGGATCTGCTTCGTTTACAAATATAATGAAATCTACTTACTGATGTGGTGGTAAGTGGTGACGCAAATTGTCTCCATGTGGCGTGGAAATTAAAAATTAAATAAACTAGCAAAGACCTAATTCCCCTCTTGCCAGTGCAAATTCCAGCAGTACGCTCTGTATAAATACGTCTTTATGCGACATAACTGAAAGTCAGGATTTTTTCGTCCTGATTAAGAGCGAGGCGGGACGCGGGACAAATCAAATAAAATCGGGACAATCCCGCCTAAATTGGGAGACCTGACAGCCCTAGATGGTTGGGCAGAACCAAATTAGAAAATCAGTCCCTTGCCTGAGCCCACTGGCACAAAGGGTCATTTATTTAAAATATCTTTATTTCCTTTCAGTACCGCAAATATACTAAAAAAAAAATGTGGAAGTATATTGTTACAAAATTTACTTGAATATTAGGTATCCAAATTCTAAAAAATATTTAATTTAAAAAGAAAAAATATATAAATTCCTCCTTTTTTCATTAAATATTAAATTATTTTTGGTACAATGCATTGCTTTTAAAAGTGTGATAATAACAATAGTTTTTTAATGCTATCGCATAATATTGTAGACCAATGAATCATAATTAAGTGGAATTTTATGACGGTAACGACATGCGTTAGATGCATCAAGTGCAAATTAGTCTTATAGTGTTATATGTTATATTAATACCTATTGCGTAAAAGGAAAACTATATCTTTTATATTAATATTTATGCTCCAATAAACGGTAAAACTTATTTATTATTATCTACTGTAATGCTAATTATACATTTTGAATATACAAAAATTGTCCATTAAAAAGATATTTTGCTAGAATTAATGTTTAAAATACAGTTATATTACAAAACAAAGCCTATTATCCGCAACAAATATAAAAATATAAAATTTATATTGCTTATTCGCCCAATTCTGATTTTGCTATTCGTTCCAAGTCATCCAAACTTAAAGTATCAACTTTTGATTGGAAGTTCCTCATAAATTCGTCTACAATTAATTTGCACTGATCCTCGGAGTAGTACTTTCGTAGAAACCTATTTAGCACTGTGTTTAATGATTCTGGCTTTTTAATAGCAACATACAACTTAGTGCCATCCTTAATTTTCGGATAATCTTCTACCAATTTATCGTCTTGTAATGTTTTACCAAATAAGACTAAAGTTTGTTGTGGAGCTGGAATATTAATATCCTTTTCTACGAGCTTCTTAACCTCCAGAATTGACGTTTTTTCTGTAATTTCAATTAAACTACTTCCACCTTTTAAACTTTTCACTGTTATTTTCATTTTAGAAAACTTAAAACTATTTTATTTTTATTGATGATTTATTTGCTACTTGACACTTGACAGAATTTGACATTAAAAATTTCAAGGAAAGTGAGAGATCACGGCTGTTATAGAAATAGATATGAAACGTATTACCAGCGTACAAATATTTGTACGCTGGTATTACCGACTAAAATGATTAGCGCAAAGTTAGTTTAGTACTACTAGTTAGCGCTGTTAATATATTTGACAGAACTATATTCAGTTATAATATCACAAGAGCATAGAAAATATTCGATTATACTTCCGAGTAACGAGACGTATTCTGCGAAACACCACGACAGCGTAGCTGGAGACGCTAGAGTGGTGTTTTAAGGATATACCACAGCCAATAAGCTGTGGATATACGTCGAGTGAGGCGGGTAGTATAATCGAATATTTTCGTTTGTTCGAGTGGTATTCGATACGATTATATAATTCAGAGCTTGAACCGAAGCATTCCATTTTTTTTTTTTCGTTCATTGACAAATGTTAAAACTATCGTTACCATGACATAGTTCACATTGTTGGAGGAGGCGAAACACCAAAACGGTTAAACCACGTCGTCAAGAGTATAATCGCTTATCAATACATAGTAACTACGTAAAATTTGTAATTGCCATTGGCTAAATTTCTAATGAATTATATAATCGTAAATTATGCAATTCAGGGGATGTATTCTGTAACACTCTTACAGTGCTATAACTTTATAGCCACAAAAAATATCGCAAGATAAAGCACAACTTTTACAGAAACATCTTTTAATTTTAAGTAAATCTGATTAGTACTTTTTGCTATTTTATTAATGAGTTATTAAAAAAAATTGTAGAAGTTGCGAGATATCGCTTGCAGTCGCTACAAGTACCTATACCATCTTACAGAATACCACCGCAGGAATCATCGCTGTAACAATCCACTAGGATTATGTAATTATAACTATACGGAGATGCAAATAAACTGCTGCAACACACTTCACTGAATTTACGATCAACTTCAAAGTTTTCATAAGTAGCCTCGGAACAGACTATGATTCGAGAAGAGTTTCGTATTGGTATAGGATAAGAGTAGGTACGTCTATAATAAACCACAACCATAAATGGACATAAATATACAGACATAGTACAGCATCAAGAAAAACAATAAAAATATTTAGTAGAACTAGAAAATGCCAAGATTAAACAAAAGAAGAGAAAGTACACTAATGATGTCAGCGATAACATATCAACAAGTTCTCACCTGCGTATGAGGTTATTCTTCCCGAACATGTGCAGTAGGAATAACACGGCTAATGTTAAATTTTTACTTTATTTTAGGAATATTCTTTTATATCGTTTTTTGTAAGTTTTAAGTACATTAGTGTAAATATATATTTTACGAAACACGTGTTTGTTGTTCTTAAATACTTCTAAATTCTTGTAAAAATAAATTAATTTGAAGTTATTTATTTTTATATAGTATCTATGTAAATAGTACACAAGAATCAGATTCGGTTTGCACAATTTCAACTATGGCAATTTGTTGCGGGTTGCCTAAATATGTGACGTCACAACTGAAAGAGTCTAATATTCTTTACAGAATGAACGAATTACCAAGAACCACTATTAGCTTTGTTCTTAGAGCAATCAGAACAATTTCTAACAGACAGACGTATGCGCATTTCGATATAAATGCTTTAAGGCTCAAAATTCATCGTTTCGCATCAAATGAGATCGCGTTTGATGTTGAAAATTTTTCTTTTGTACTAGGAATAGGGTTATTAGTTCCTATTTAAAATAACAAGGTTCGGGTTTAGTGAGTGAATGAATATAGGCCCGCGGTTCCCTACCCACATGCAAGTCGAATCAAATACCAAATCCGTGCGTGTATCAATGGAACCGGAAAATGTAGATCTATGGTGCAATATTAACATAATGTATTTTGATTTCTATTTATCAGTTACTAGAACCCGTTCTAAAACATGCCATATTTTACATAGACGCCTTTAGTTTACTATATAGTCTGTTTTGAAATGAAAAAGAGTAATAAAAGCTTATTATGTATACAAATCGTAAATAAATGTAGTACTGGTGCTGATATTCAATATTTTTATGTTATGTATTATCGGTATAGATGAGGTGTACTTTTAAAAAAACTTTGAGTGACCGGGTTGTACTAAACTGTAGCAGGTAGCTAAAATTTAATCCCCGACAATCCGTCTTTGTCTATGCCGCTTCAATTTCTCGGTCCATTTCTCTTATAAGTAAACAATATAAGAACAGCATTTCAAAACATGAGGCTACTTTAAGCATCATAACCGGGTTAAGAGGGTTTTTAGTAATTCAAATAAAATTATTCAAGCATGGTCGGTGTAGACCGGCAGGGGAGCCTCTTCCGGCGCTCTTCGTGTCTTGATCTTTTTTCTTCGCCAGCTTGGTCTAGCCCCCCGGGGGGTTGTCGTCGTGAGGAATGGGTTTTTAGGAATAGCTTATAGCTAGGGAATGCACCCGGCCTTTGTGTCGCTGACTTGCAGGCCAGTGCGGGGATAGGGTACCTTAGGGTCACCGCGTAGTTTTCGCGCGGCTAAAAGCCGCGGCTCTCTAGGTCGTCTGTATGTGTCAACGGCTTGTCTAAAGACGGGGTTGTCATGTCTCGCAGCCGCATCCATGCATTTTTGGGTGTGTGTACGTATTATCTGTGTCGCGTTAGTGTATTTAAGTCTCGTAAAATGTCGGTGTTTCTTACGTACTATGGCGAGACGGTGGCCGTACGTAAGGCTACGTTTTCCACAGCCTGGAATGATTTAATGTAGCTTTTTGCCACGTAACCCCACGCCGCGGAGGCGTAGGTAAGCTGCGGTTGAAGTACCATCTTGATTAGCGTTCGCTTATTCTTTAAACTTAGGGTGTTGCTCACTTTGAGTAAAGGATAGAGCTTAGCCTTGGTGGTCCTCGCTCGCACTATTATCTCCGCGACGTGCGTTTTCCACGTAAATCGCCAGTCCATCGTCACGCCCAGGTATCGCGTAGGTCGGCCCCAGGGAATAGGTTCCTGGGACAATGTCAGTATATCTAGGTCGGAGGAAATTTTGCGTCTAGTAAAGTATATGGCAGTACTTTTGTTGTTTTTTTTTTGACATTCCACCTGTTGCAGGTTGCACCAGGTTGCAAGTTGGTTTAAAGCGTTCTGTAAGTGTGTGGTAGCGTGTGTTGCATTCATGAATTGTGCTGTTATGGTCAGGTCGTCGGCGTATTGGTATGTGTTTTAGTTTTGGGGTGAGGTACGTCGGAATTGTAAATAGTGTAGAGGTGTGGAGGACAAACACGATATACCTGGGAGTGACGATGGACCAGCGTCTCGCGTGGAAACCGCACATCGTGGAGACGGCGGCGCGACCGAAGACTACCAGGGCTAGGCTCTATCCCTAACTCAAAGGTGGAAACACCCTCAGTTTAAGGAATAAGCGAACGCTTATCAAGGTGGTACATCAACCGCAGCTAACTTACGCCTCCACGGCGTGGGGTCACGCGGCAAAAAGCCACTTAGTCACTACAGGCTGTGGAAAACATAGCCCTCCGCACGGCCACCGACGCGCCCTGGTACGTAAGAAACTCTGACATATTACGAGACTTACGACGTACAATACACAAACGCGACACAGACAATAAGACAAAACGCGGAGAAACGGTTTGACGTAGCCGCTAGACATGACAATCCCCTCCTCAGGCAAGCCGTACGTACCCGACGTGACCGACAAACAGAAAAGACCTAGACACCAACTTTTTGACCCTGGGTGACCACCCCAACGACATCCCCCCCCTGCCCGCTAACCTTTTCTGTTTCAGAGACAGCCAGGATCAAGAAACGAAGACAACGACACACACACACACATACACACCCCCCATACCCTCCTTACCTCTCCCCTCCCGCGCTAGCCTAAGGGCCACCTTAGCAAAGCGCATCCCAGGCTGCATAGCCGCACTACCCTACCCAACCATACCACACATAAACATGACACTACCCCCGGGGTTTACACAGACGAGCCGGCGAAGCAAGAAGAGCGCCAGAAGAAAGGGCCCTAGCCGGCGGGGCCCAGCCAGGACAAAAGGAGGTCCCACAAAGCGCCTACACCGGCCGCATTTGCGGTCGGGGTAGACGACGGATGGGGCCCACCTACGAAGGCTGTCCAGGCCTACACGAGATGAGGCAGGATAAAGAGGGATAATCCCCCTCGATCCCAAATCATTGAGGCCAATTTCTAGCCATAGAATAATGGCGGTTGTGGAGGTAGGGCTCAGTGAATTCGACAAAGGATATGGGATATTGGTTGGTGAGCATTTTCATCAGAGGGCCTTCGTCCCAGACCGTACCGAAGGCTTTTGCGACATCCAGGAAAACAGCTCCGGTGAACTGCCTCCTATTGAAGGCCCCTGTGACATGCTCGGTGAGGCGTAGGATTTGGAGTTCGGTGGAGTGGTTAGGACGGAAGGCGAACTGTTCGTCAGGAATGACTCGCAGTTCTTCGGAGTGGGTTTTTAGACGGGAAAGGATTATTTTTTCTACCACTTTGCTCATAGCCGGGAGTAGGCTAATGGGCCGGTGGCTGGAAGGGAAGGTATGGTCTTTGTTGGGTTTAGGGATGAGAATTGTTTGCTATCTTCTAGCGTGTAGGGAAGTGTCCAAGTCTGAATGTAGCGTTTGTTATGTTTAGTAGGGCTATTAGGCAGTTGTGTGCGCGATCACCCCTAAATTAATTATTATGTTTTGGTAAAATAAATATCTGTTTTCTTCATTGCATAACTTTTTTTTACAAGATCCGCCACTACAATAAAACAAAATAAATATAAACAGTTATTTATTTCGTAACAAGCTTTAGTTATAAAAACAATTATTTTTACTCCCATAAAAAGGGAATGTGCTATATAATACTTTAAATGATTAAAAAACATCTTACTCCCCAACCTTCTTTCTTTAATACAAAATGCAAGAATAAATGCTAGGAAATTATATTTTTACATTTCCCGCCACAGCCCTCTCAATCTTTATAATCCTTATACTTATAATAGCTGTTTTACATTGACAATTTATTCATGAATAAATTGACGAAGTTCTTCATGAATAATTCACGAATTTATTGGCAGACAGTGTGGTTTTACACTGCTACAGACTTTGTCAAGTTTTTTGAGGTATGAATCAGTTCTACCAATGAATCAAAGCAAATAAATTTAAAAAATGTCGCCTTTCAACTTATAATTGTAGTGATATAACAGCGGTACCGTTCCGACACATATTACATAAATATTAGTTTTTGTAACAAATCAGTAAAAACAATGCAAAACTAGTACGACGCCACACAATTATTTACATATTCCAATAACATAACCTCATTACTGATCTGAGGCTGGAAATCTGTTGGGTTGGTACTTCTGAACTTCACGATGAAATTTACGAAAATTACAACATGCTCCAATTTGTCAAGAACTTGATGAATTTTTTTTTGGTGCATTACACTTGTCCAATTTCTTGATGAAGCGACTTCATGAATTAATTGATCAATAAATTGTCAATGTAAAACAGCTATAAGAATTCTGCTTATACAAAAGTGCACTATTTTTGTACTTTTATATTGCTTACAAATAAAAAAATTGTAAAGATAACATATATCTCAATAAAATAGTTAAATGATGCTTTTATTTTACTTTTAGTGTTTGTGACGTAAATTATGAATAAACAAACAAAACGCAGAAAATATTTGTGCATTTTAAAAGTTATGTTCTGTTTATCAATCTACATAATAATAAACATGTAATTATTCAACAGTACCGTTATCATTTTGCAATTATTTAAGTATATAGAGTAAAGCACTGCATTAAAATTGTATAAAAAGCATAATTGATAAAATTTTCTTTTGTACCGCATTATATAGAAATACTAACTTCTGAAACTAGTATAACTAGTTATTCGCTTTACTGTTCAACTTATACAAGTATTGGAACCCATATACGGCCCCTATCCCTAAAAGAAATGTAGCCAGGTGAGAAACATATTTAAAAGAAAATGTCAATCCTGGCGATAACATGAATTGTAAATAAGACAATTTGCCTGAAGTTAAAGGTGGATATCTAGCATTTGAAAGTTTCTCTCCTAGAAAGCTCAAATCTTTATGCAGTACACTTTTCTTATGTGTAAAGGTGTCGTAGCTATATTTACCGTGATATGCACCCATCCCACTGCTTCCCACACCCCCAAATGGCAAAGTTGGTACGGTCAAATGCATGACAGTATCATTAACTGTAACGCCCCCTGCCGATGTGTTTTCCAGAATTTCTCTGACATCTGCCTTTCTATTTGAAAAAATGTATAAGGCCAGAGGTTTTTCGTTGTTACATATGTAGCTGATAGCTTCATAGGCATTGTCCACATTAATTATGGGAAATATAGGCCCAAAAATTTCTTCCTGCATCACAGGATCGCTAGGTTTTACGTTTGTCACTATGGTAGGAGCAATGTACCTTTCTGATGAATCAGTATCGCCGCCAACTACGATATCGCTAGTTTTTAGTAAATTAGTCAGCCTCTGAAATTGCCTATCATTTACAATTCTGCCATAGTCTGGAGATGTTTTTGGATCCTTCCCATAAAATTCTCTGAGGATTCTCTTGCTGCTGAGTACGAATTTCTCCTGCACTTCTTTAGAACACAGTAAATAATCAGGAGCAACACAGGTTTGGCCTGCATTTATGAATTTCCCCCAAATGATCCTCCTTGCAGCTATTTCAATATTGGCACTCTTGTCCAAATAAACAGGACTCTTACCTGAAATAATAAGGCTTAACATAACTACCTACATAACATAACAAATAAAACTATACAGAGTGTAAATTTATCTGTTTTTAAATCACACAAGAATAATCGAATTATAATTCAATTTTTAAACTGCACTTAAACTCTTGTTTGTGCTGCCACTGGAGCTGTATCAGTGTTGGCAGTTGTTGCCTTTTAAACCAACTATATGAAACTAACGGGGATGGCATTGCTTTTGCAACATGTTATTTTAAAGTCACCATATTTTTCTAGCGTTTTCAAAACTTAAATTTGCTTGTTTCATTAAATATTAACTAATATAGACACACGAACAGGCATTATAATTCTAAGTAAAACTAATTTGGATTTTACGGTCATTATTTTTACTGTTTCATAAAATGCCCAAAATAGAAAATAAATAAAAATACCTAGTAATCTGACAGATTTGAATTAATTGTTAAAATAATTACAAGATTTCAATAAAAAGAATTTGTCTCCATTTTCTGAAAGCACTCTGTCAAACAAATTTGGAAACGATTTATCCCCAAAATGCAATTACCGGAAAGACACGGCCAATACCTATACAGGGTGATTCACAAACGGTAACCAAAAATGAAATCCAGTATTCTTTCGTGAATTTTAAGGGGAGACTTTCGTATAAAGTTTTTATCTAGGACGGTTCGTTAAAAAGATACAGGGTGTTAAACTTAAAAATTTTTGAATTTTTTTAAATAAATTAAAAACTAGTCAGTGAAATAATTTGAAATTGGACACATGTATTTATGTAAACATTGTCCAAAATCTGAAGCCTTTTCATAAAATTTAGATGTTCCAGTGGCGGAGATACAGGGTATCGGTGGAATATTTTTCTAAATAAAATAGTTACATTTTCACAGTTTAACACCTTGTGTCTTTTTAATGAAGCTGCCTAGATTAAAACTTTATACGAAAGACTTCTCTTAAATCCAAAGAATACGAAGTTTCATTTTTGGTCACCGTTTGTGAATCACCCTGTACACCATGTACTGAAAGACCACATAGTAAATATAAGTACCAACTTAGGGACTTCAAAAAGCCTAAACGAGCCTAGATATTGTTCCATCACCCTCCGATATTAACCTAGTTTATGTGAACTGTAATATGTTCATAAATATTCCAAAATAGAAGGACGTATTTAGGAAAGTTAAATTGTCAGCAAAATACAATATGTTGTTACCTTTTTTTTTTATTATTCATCAACTGAATAAGTGCTAGACAATGTAAATTAATCCAAAACAACATACAATAGTAACAAAATTAGGTTGTAAATGATACATACGAATTGAAAATAATTATATGACGTGAAGTCCCATTCTGTATAAAAGAGTGTCTTTGATTGTTCAATGTTGTTCAATCCGTTTCAACCAATAGTTTCACAGCTGCACAAGCACAATTAGAGTATTCAAATGACTTTACACCTGATATGATATGATAAGGTGGTAGTCGGGGCAAAAAATAAATAGCCAACGTTAATTTGGCAAAAGAAGAATGGCTGAAAATATCACCGCTTCATTTTATTATATTTACTTTAGTTTATTAGTTTACAAGAAGTTTGTAATACTTCCTGCATAAAGTAAATGTTTACTAGACTGGAAATAGAATTTGTATATTGCATGTTGTGTTTTATTGAGTTTGATTTTATCGTAAAATTTAAATCACTATGAAGTATCTTTGTGTAGTATAAATGTATAATCTTATATAGTTAATCATTTCAGTGTCTAGTGATGGTATGATGTATTAGTTTTCACAGAGAAATTTCTGTTTGGTATTATGAAAAATCATATGTATATGCATTAGGGTGACCCAAAATAAACGAATATTTTTTTTCGTGTCTCTTGTGAAAATATGTTAGTTTATTATGTTTTAAGAGCCCCCTCAAAAAATCAGCTCAAAAAAAAATTTTTTAGAGGTCGGTCCAGATTTTTAAAAATTTCCAAAATCGTCAAAAATTGAATTTTTTTTAAATTTTTTTTCTTGTTATTTTATCATTTTCTAGGTTGAAAAAAAATCTCGATTCTGAAAATTTCAAATTGATATTTTAATTTCTAAAGGTCACTCATAATTATTTTAACTCTAAAAAAATTTTCTTTGAGCTGATTTTTTGAGGGGGCTCTTAAAACATGATAAACTAACGTATTTTCACAAGAGACACGAAAAAAAAATATTCGTTTTTTTGGGGCCACCCTAATATGCATGAATAAAAAAAGAGATATAACAATTTGTGCACGCCATAGTTCAGCTAGTACACATAGTAGTGTACTAGCTAAAATTACGAGAAAAAGATTAAAAATAAAAAATTTTTTCAAACGAAATTTGAGAAAACAAGCTACTGTGTTTTTAAAGGTGGACGGTAGCTGCTGAATAGATATGACGTCTATTCAAACCCTGTAGAAAATTTATAATTTTATGGTACTTTTAAAAACATTGAAAATAATTCTAAAAAAATAATGCTAAATTTCTGTCTAAAAAAGTTATATATTCCTGTGCTGAAGAAAAATATTTTGGTATGTTAAAGAAACAACTCAATATGCATGTGACTAAATACAATGTGTTTTCCTTTTAACACAAAACAAAACAATAAACAGTAAAGTAAGAAAAATTTTCATCTAACATTTTTTCTCCAAACTAACTAAAAAATAACGAAGTCCGAATCTGTTCAGATGTTCACAGATATTATCATTGATTTCATTCACGCAAGCTATCACTAGAAGTATCCAATATCCAGTACGTGTTGTTAGAAGCAAGCAATTTAATCGAATTATTTCCGCAGTAGTTGCGACATATTTACATAATTTTTCTGTTGTGTTCACTTTAGTCTTTTACTCTAAACTTTTCATGTAATTTGAAGGGTAAAAATAATATGTTTTGCAATCCAGTAACCTCGGGGGCCGCAATACTGGTTAGTTGCAGCCTATCTACCTACTGGCAACTTCTTTATTTAGATAATCCTGCACTTCATATCTAAAATGGTGTACAATAAAAAAAAAACGTATGTAAAAACCATATGGATTGTCGAACATTTAAGGACATATAGATAATCTAAATCAGATTTGGCAGCATAAGGAGACTAATAAACATACCAGCCCAATAATTTAAATCAAATATACAGGGTGTCTCATAATTAGCTGCCAACCCTGAACAGGCCGATTCTATGATCAAAACTAAGTAAAAAAGTTCATATGAACATGGGTCCGGAAATGCTTCCTAAGGGCACAGGGACCCATTGAAGAGGGAGGAATGGAAATCATTTTTTTGCAATATCTCTCAATCGCGTTGTGATAAATGAATGAAATTTGGTATACACAGCTAAATTTTGATGAGCAATTTGATGGACTAATCCATTTATTTCCACAAGGTCCATTGGGGTGGGTACGGGGGGGCCCTTGGTACTTTGCGTGTGTAACTTTTTCATCTTTGACTTTTTAACAAATTGGACAGCAAATTCCGTTTTCCCGAACTGTTTTACGTTAAAAAGGTACTCTTGTTTCAAATCGTTATCTTTAACGGTTTCTGAGAAAATCGCTCTTGAATTAATCCCACTTTGGTCAATTTCATAGTAATTTAAACAAAAAAAATTTTTTTGTTTAAATTTAATCTAATTTTAATAAAAAAATAATAATAAAAAATTAAATTAAATAAAAATTAATCCTTTAAATGGAAAAGAGAGGAAAGGAAAATTATTATTATTATTTTTTGTTTAAATTACTATGAAATTGACCAAAGTGGGATTAATTCAAGAGCGATTTTCTCAGAAACCGTTAAAGATAACGATTTGAAACAAGAGTACCTTTTTAACGTAAAACAGTTCGGGAAAACGGAATTTGCTGTCCAATTTGTTAAAAAGTCAAAGATGAAAAAGTTACACACGCAAAGTACCAAGGGCCCCCCCGTACCCACCCCAATGGACCTTGTGGAAATAAATGGATTAGTCCATCAAATTGCTCATCAAAATTTAGCTGCGTATACCAAATTTCATTCATTTATCACAACGCGATTGAGAGATATGTATTGCAAAAAAATGATTTCCATTCCTCCCTCTTCAATGGGTCCCTGTGCCCTTAGGAAGCATTTCCGGACCCATGTTCATATGAACTTTTTTACTTAGTTTTGATCATAGAATCGGCCTGTTGGTTGGCAGCTAATTATGAGACACCACGTATACAAATTATTATTTTTTACCTTTAGCAGAAAACTTTTTTAGGGACACCTATGAAACTCATTAAATTTGATTGCTCAGTTTTTTTTTATACATGTTCAACTTCGGAAAGACTATACCATGATGACGTAACTTTTCAGCTGATTGTTATACAGTGTGTCCCAGAAGTAACGAACAAAATTCGTATTTTATTATGTGTTGCGTTTTCACAAAAACGCTAAAACACGTCAATTAGTAAACAGGAATTGTCATTTTGTCACCTTTTTTGTGCTATGTTTCATAAACCTATGACGTCATCGACATTTTTTTTAAATAGCACTACCTAATTTTTTAAGCATAAATTGATAGTCCTTTTGAAGGGAAATACGTCGATATAGGGTTTAGCCTACTTTACTTTGACAGTAGCGAAAAAAAGCCAATGACTGGAATGGACATGGTTTAAAATAACAACAAAAGTAGCTATCATAAACTGATGTGAGAACAGTGCCACAGCAAAATATGGAATGTTTTGTGTTTTGGTTGATTGTAGGTACATTTTTATGTATTGATATGTTGACGTTTTTGGCGATACAACGAACAGCAGTGTGTGGATTTTCAGTGACAGCTAAACATAACATTTTGCCTATCATTTTCCATCACTCTCGTTGGCCTTCCAGATCTAGACAGATCTCTAGCATGTCCAGCGTCTTCAAATTTGCGTACTAATATGCATACTGTAGACGGGGGTATTGGTTGTTCTGGATACTTGGCATTGAATAATTGACATACTTTTCATAACTACGGATCCTATCTCCGTATCCAACCATAACTAGGATTTCAATTATTTGTTTCTCATTTAACAACACCATCTTAATGTAAACTTATGGTATTTGTACCTGGCACAATGATATGAGGACTATTGCATTCGCTAACTGTCGTCTTCAAAACAATACCTACATAGCCGCTGTGATCGGGCGTACCTACCAAATCTACATAAAAACATGTACCTACAATCAACCAAAACACATTTTTTGCTATAGCACTATTCGCGCATAAGTTTGTGTGATACCTACTTTTGTTATTAATTCAAACCATAGTTGAATATAGTTGACATATCCATGCCAATCGTTGGCTTTTTTTTCGTACCTGTCACAGTAAAGTAGGCCAAACCGTATATCGACGCATTTCCCTTCAAAAGGGCTATCCATTTATGCTTAAAAAATTAGGTAGTGCTATTTAAAAAAAATGTCGATGACGTAATAGGTTTATGAAATATAGCGCAAAAAAGGTTTAACCAACGTGACAAAACGACAATTCTTATTTACTAATTGACGTTTTTAGCATTTTTGTCAAAAATTTAACACAAAGTAAATAACGAATTTTTTGCGTTACTTCTGGGACGCACTGTATAACATTTTGAACAGAAATGTACTTGACGATGATATCAAATGTCTTTCTCATTATTTTTTATATATTAGAAAAAGTTATTTGTAAAACTAGCTATCTCCAGTTCTATGTATTAAAAGGAAAACACAATAATAGAAAACTGTAAAATCCTTCACCAAAAATGATCTCCTTCAATATGGCAAATAAAAAAGATTTTTTTCTTTGGGAAGACAATTTGGGAAGAGTATAGTTTATTATCTATTTTTAAATAATTATCTACTAATTTGTTGCGAGTTGCTTATTTAAGATACTTAACATACTTATATATTTGATACATAGTGTCAGAATTTACTAAATTTTTTAGATTTAAATTCAATTAGAATACCTTTAAATGTACAAAACTTATTAGAATTCTATAATATTATTACCTATTAAATCATCATTTTAGTTTTATTGACTATTTAGGTATGTTAATTCCTGATTTATATATTTAAACTCAACTGGTCTTTGATATACGAGCCCAGGTTCATAATAGTTTGGTAAGGTATAGTTTTACTACTATTAGTAGTGTACTATATATTATATTTAAATAAAAGTAATAACACTGAAAAGAAAAATATTGGTAATAGAAAAAAAATATAAACTTTTAACTTAAATACGATTTAAATATTACTACGTAATGATGTGTCAATGACTAGTTTGTTAATAAAAAACATTAAGATTGGCGGTTCAGAATAGTTAAGCCGTTTCATCAAAATTATGTTACATTACCTTTATTAAAAATAACAGCTTTAATTCTGGCAGGCATTGTATCTACCAGTTTAGCGCACTCTTCAGAAAGCGTGCTATCCCAAATTTCTTGCAATTTGATGGGTATATCGTTAACTGAACAGGTTAGATGTTTGTAAAAACTATTTTTTCATTTTATGCCACAATGTTTCTATTGGCAAGAGATCTGGACTGCTAGAGGGCCATTCCATAACAGGAACATTATGTTTCTGTTATCAATATTTTTCTTTAATAAAATAGTTTTGAGAGTGTTAGTACTTTTATTGAAATATATTAGTAGTAAAATTATGCCTGGCCGAACTATTATGAGCCTGGGCTCGTATAGAAAATTGCATATTATTAAGTTCTAGAATCCAAATTAATTATGTATAATTTATTTAAAAAAATAATGTACAATTAAATAGTTTCGTTATTAGTTTTTGCAATTTTACTTTATTATAAATAAGGGTATTTATTATATTATTAATGATTTCAAACAGTCTTTCCACTATTTTAGAAATTTTTAAAAGATGTTTCTAAATATTTGATAACTCCAGTTCTATGTACCTATTAAAAGACAGAATTTTTTAAATTTATTTTAATTAGTTTAATACCTTTATAATAAAATTCTTGAATAGGTTAAAAGGTCAAAATTTTTAAATATTATTTTATATTTAGATATGGCCATTGAGAAATCTTCACTCTAGCACCTAAACAATGTTTGATGATAACTTTATGATTGTTACTCTATAAATTTATAAACACACTCATGAAAATGACGCAATATTTATCTTTGTGCAAGATAAAACTAATGGAATCTGCCTCTTTCTTATGTTCATAAATTTTGGAGAAACTGAGTTTTGACATTTAAAGAGAATCACGATTATTCAACATTGTAAAGACCAATAAAAATTATGGCATATTTTGGTAAATGCAAGTCATGAAAACTATTTGAAAATAATAAAAAAACAATTAAATTCTCTTATTTGAGGACATGTTTGTGAATTAGGGGCAAACCCTCCCCGGACACCCATGGCATACACCAAATCCAAATAAGTTGTCGCTGATGAGTTTTTTTGAGTTATAAATTTAATTTGCTTATTTACCTCTCACAATTTCCTAGGCATGTTACTTATTTCAAACAAATAAAAATCAACCTTACTACGTTTGTGGTTTTTAACTTTAAATTAAGTCTTCTACTTTATGTCTCCAAAATTTTAATAATAATACAATTATTTAAAGCCAAAAATTAATTGAATTGGTATATAAACTTGTCAATTAGAGGTATATTATCACTAGTTACTTTTTTAAATTTAAATTAAGCTCAATTAAACCCAATCAAATATATAACAACTATAAAATTACTAGTTACACAAAATAACTGTAAGGGTTTTTTTCAAAATATAATTTTAAATACCTATTTAAGTTTCTTTAAAAGTTTATTATTATTACCTACTAAAAACTAAATTACTTACCTCCAAGTTCTAGTGTAGTAGGTGTAAGGTGTTTGCTAGCAGCAGCTTGAATAATTTTGCCCACAACAGTTGAACCAGTATAAAAAATGTAATCAAATTTTTGCTTTAGTAATTCAGTAGTTTCAGGAATCCCTCCTAAATAAACTTGGTACGCATCTTCGTCCAAATACTGTGGAATCTTATCAGCAAAGAATTTTGCAATAGCCGGAGCTACCTCTGATGGTTTTATTACTACGCAGTTACCTGCTGATATTGCTCCACAAACAGGACCTAATGTTAACTGCAGCGGATAATTCCAAGCACCTATTACTAAAGCCACTCCAAAAGGTTCATGTAAAATATACACATCATCTAATATGTTTGCAAATTCCTTAGGTGGTTTTTCAGGTTTCACCCAGTCATATATATTGGCCAGTATATATTTTATTTCATGAAGAACAAAATTTATTTCAGTCAAAATACTTTCAAATTTACTTTTATGTAAATCTTCAAATAGTGCTTTAATAATTTCTTCTCTGTTTTCTTCCAACATTTTTTGTAAGGATTTTAATTGTTTAATCCTATACTCTATAGGTTTTGTTTTACCACTTTGAAAAGTATTCCCCAAATGATGAACTATTTCATCGGGGTGATTTGTTATTGAGGACATTCTGTATTAAAAATTTTTAGTCTAAAATGGTAAAAAGAAATATTTATTCGACCACTAGAAATAAGACGTAAGTATTATAACTTAATTACATACCACTCTAGAAGTATCTAATTTTAGAAAAATATAATTAGGCTTATAAACGTCCAACGCAAGATAACAGAGCAAACAGCTACTTGCTCTTGCTAATAGCTATGTTTGGAACTGGAATGGGAATGGGCTGACTGAAATTAACCTTGCTCTTTGCACCTCACTCAAACATATTTTAATTTTTAAAAATATTTTGTAAATGTATACAAAACACACTTACTGTGGTACGTTCCTTACATTAGTTAGTATGTGTGACGTATGGCCTAACTTATGACCTATCTTAATTTGTGACTCACTATACAAACATTCTAGGGAGCTCTTGAATTGTTTAAACCACAGACTTCTAACTGTGGTTTAAACTAATGTAAGTGGCCCTGCTTTTATTTGTTAAATATAAAGTAAGCAGGTATACAATTCTATGTATTATTCTAACATCTAACACCAATAATTCTAACACCAACACCAATAACCAACCAATGATGTGAATGACAAAAAATGACGTTAAAACAAAACGCCATTATTCCATGGCTAGAAATTGGCCTCAATGATTTGGGATCGAGGGGGATTATCCCTCTTTATCCTGCCTCATCTCGTGTAGGTCTGGACAGCCTTCGTAGGTGGGCCCCATCCGTCGTCTACCCCGACCGCAAATGCGGCCGGTGTAGGCGCTTTGTGGGACCTCCTTTTGTCCTGGCTGGGCCCCGCCGGCTAGGGCCCTTTCTTCTGGCGCTCTTCTTGCTTCGCCGGCTCGTCTGTGTAAACCCCGGGGGTAGTGTCATGTTTATGTGTGGTATGGTTGGGTAGGGTAGTGCGGCTATGCAGCCTGGGATGCGCTTTGCTAAGGTGGCCCTTAGGCTAGCGCGGGAGGGGAG